ACACACACACACACACAGAGAGAGAGAGAGAGAGAGAGAGAGAGAGAGAGAGAGAGACTTAATCGCTGTATAAGGAAAGGACATAACCCCATAATGTGGAAGGGAAAACACATGAGAAGATGTCATATGAAATATGCACAGAGGATCTGAATTGAAATCTCCATGAAACATGAAACAGCTACTTGTGGCCAGTATTCAGACAGAAGTATTTCCAGCCTTATTACATTCCAGGTCATCCAAGCTCAGCTCAAAACAATTGAAAACCACAGTGAGGAAAGGCTTCCTCCTCTTACCTGATTATAATCTAGACAGAAACAATAGAGAGCAAGGGGAGACCTCAGGATACTACTGTATTGTGTTGTGAGCACAATACTACTGAGCAGCTCCGTGGAAACAATCTGCCAGTTCTTCAGACTTTAAAGTTCCTGATCATAAGGCTCATGTAATTAGATATCAGAGAGAAGTAAGAAAAGATACACATGAACCCCTTACAGGGAACTGGGATAAATCAGGAGCCAAAATTCCATAAAAAATGGGGAGGATCGCCTAACACTCAACCCATAAATAAAGAGCATTTGGCAGTCTCAGATTCCAGGAAAAGATGAATCATTATTATGGGGTGTGGGGGGACACTGGTTAATTGAATATTGTCCTGATAGCTCTAGCTCATCTCTGAAGTTACCTGTGACACAGAAATACAGGGGGCAGATGCCAAATAGTGAGTGGTACTTTTGGTTAATAACTTTGAATTAACATTGTGTTCAGAAAGAAAAATACTTGACAAGTGCCTGTGCACTTAGTGTTATGAAACTTTTATGTGCACAGAAATGTACCTTGTTACTTCCTCCATTTTCTTAGAGGGTATTTGAGAACTTTGCACACACTACAATGTAATCAAACTGCTATTAAATTGTAAATAAGCAGAAACTCGTTATTGGCAGTTGTGGGACGGGAGAGGTGACTTACCTTTTAGAGCATTTGTTGCTCACACAGAGGACCTGAGCTTAGTTCTGAGGCCTCATGTCTAGCAGATTACAGCTCCCATTACCTGTATCCCATAGGATCGAAAGCACTCTTATATCCTCAGATAACACACACACACACACACACACACACACACACACACACAGAGAGAGAGAGAGAGAGAGAGAGAGAGACATATCAACAGAGAGAGAGAAAGAAAGAAAAGAGAGAGGGCAGAGATTAATTTACACATAAATAAAAGTATTTCCTTATCTTTAAAATGAAATTTGTGCTATTCTGGTTTGATTACTTTATCCTTTTTTATTTTATTATGTAGATGCCTATTTGTTTTCTAAGGAAAGAAAGAGAAGAAAAGGTGTGGATTTCAATGAGAGAGGTGGGGAGGAAGGCCAATGGAGGGTTGGAGGGTAATCCAACATTAGAATATATTTTATGGATGAGAAAAATCCCTTTTCAATAAATGTAAAATGGACAAAGTATTAAAATGTAAAATTTTAAAATTGGGTGTGTATCATAGTGTTACATTCCAGTATAACCTTGCCCAAATATAATCACCTACATTTAAAGTGGGCCCATTCTGGTATGTTCCCCCTGGAATTCAAAACATAGCTAGGACAGGATTTTCTGATCTCCAAGTCCAACTTTGGAACGGAGTCTGTTAACACTGAAAAAGCTGGTAAGTGACCATGTACCTAGTGTCACAATTCAAGGGTCTAATCTAACAAAATACCTAAGATGAAAAGAATTATAAGTACAATAAGTGAAATATCATGAACAAATAGTAGTGAATTTGGAAGATAAAAACTGCTATAAATATGTATTGGAAAAACAATATTTATAGTAGTAACTTTGTTGGATTATTGATCTAGAATTAATTTCACACATTTCTTAACTCCTGATTGACATTATTGGACCTAACTATACCTAAGTTGCTGTTGACTAAATGTGAAGGTGGCACGCTGAAACTTGGACAAACATGAGAACAAATGCAAGAGAGTGAAGGGCACTTGCATCTTGGCTGTGGTACTCTTCATGGTTACCATCATCCATCCACACTACCTGGCTCTTAGAGACTTGGCATTTATCTCCATTGTTTCTTAATCTAGCCAGAATTCTAGCAGGAGAACATTGACATTTGACCAAATTAATAAGAGGCTAACTTCACATTAACAGGTTCTTTGGCGATTGGAAGGCAAGAAGCCAGACACCTTGGGCTCCAACACTCGGCTGTACAAATGGATCCCCCAGAATGACCTTCTTGGTAAGCATCAGGAGACCCATGAGACATGAGGAATGGCTGCTCAGGAAGGTGAATGTCAGCACTAATACATTTATGACAACTGTGATCTAGTCCTGAGAAAAATGAATGAAGAACTGATAAGAGAATGCTGTACGGTGATATCCGAGATGATGATATCCATTTCTATCTCTGCTGTAATTTTCTTTCAGATACACTTAAGCCTCTTCTTTATGCTTCTATTCACCTATTTTCATACCTTTGTATCTATGTTTCTTCTAGGGGAGCACAATTTTTATGCCAGTGAGAATGGCATTCTCTCATGAATGACTCTTCATTTTCTAGCTCTTCCAAAACTCCACATCATAAGGCAGTCCTATATTTGATGAAGTTTTGTTTGTCCTAAGTCTTATCCATCAGTATAAGCAACCAACGCCCTTCTACGTGGAGGCAACCTATCAGGAGCAGTGGCTTCACAGTTTCTTAGGAGAACATACTCTCTTGAATGCCTGCCTGTGCTCACACATGCTGTTTGCTCCACTTCAGAGGAGCACTTCCCTTTTTGTTCATTTCACAAAATCATTCTACTTCCAAACTCCACTTCCCCTATGTGACCTTCAATCATCCTCTTGGAGTTGTGTGTCTCCTTCCTCTAAGACATGGGAGAAATTCAATCTGCGATTATGATGATGTTGTATAGAGAATATTTGCCCTTTCTATGCCTTTTCCCATGCCTCTCATTTTCTTTCTCAGACATAAGATTAATAGTTGTATTTATTCTCTCCCCTTGCTAGGTTATCCGAAAACCAGAGCTTTTATAACTCATGGTGGCACCAATGGCATCTATGAGGTGATCTACCATGGGATCCCTGTGGTTGGAATTCCTTTGTTTGCAGACCAATTTGATAATGTTGTTCACATAAAGACCAAAGGAGCAGGTGTTAGACTGGACTTTCTCACAGTGTCCAGTACAGATTTGCTCAATACAGTAAAGACAGTCACCACTGACCCTTTGTGAGTACAATGATTTTGTTCAAGTGTGTACTAGTCCAGAAAGGTTCTCTTCAAGGTAATGTAGAATATATTTGATCTTTAGTCTAAATCTGAAAACAACAACAATACAAAACCCATTTAACCACTGTGGAAGGAGCTTTCCGCTGTCAATCAATACTAGAAACTATCCCTGAGGACTTACTGTATAGGAAGTTAGTTTAGAATAATTTGATGAAATTAAGTGAAAAAATTTTCTTCCTAAATAATAGGATATAATTTTCACAAATAGAATCAAATCAACAAACACAGTAATGAAGCTAAAAATCATAAAATATTTCAAATTAATGACTTGAATTTCTGAACTCTTACTCTTTCTTTATATAATTGTCCCTTAATGTCCAAAGTAGAATAATTAGGTATATAAATGCATATGTATATAGAAAGTATAAAACATTTCAAGTTAATGACTTAAATTTCTGAAACTCTTATTTTTTAGGTAATTCTCACTTAATGCACACAGAAGAAAATTAGGCATATATATACATATTTATACATATATAGATAACATATGTGTAATATGTAATGACCAAATATGAACACTTATCATTTCTATCTCCTTGCACATTTTTTATTTCTTGCTCAAAATCCCCTCTTCATTACTTAATCAGTCCTATAACTTGTAATTCACAGTCATTGACTCACTGTAGGCACTATCCTGCTATCAATGGCAGGCTGTTCATGTTAGCTCACCTCTTCTAATCCTACTCACTCTCTCCATTCTGAACCACCAATTCCTACAGTTCTACACTCTACTTCTATGAAATCAGCCCTGGTAGTTTCTATACAATGGTTAGATGTTGCAGTATTTTTCTTTAGGGAGGTAATTCTCAACCTGTGGTTCTTAGAAACTAAGACATTTCTCAGTTGCAAAATTGCAGTTGAAGTAGCAGAAAATAACAACTTTAACATTGGGGATTCCTAAGACCATCAGAAATATGTGTTTTCTGATGGTAGTGACTCACAGAGTAAGACCCAGTACTTTGGGGCCTAGTTTATATGACTTAGTATGGTAGCCCCTAATTTTATCCTTCTTATTGTAAAAACCAGATTTCCTTCTTTATACTGGCTGATAATATTCAACTACTTTTCAAACCACAATTCCTTTATCCATCATCCCACACTGGGCACCTCACTCAATTCAACTTCGTAACTATCACAAGTAGTGCCACTCAAACCATTAAGCTATCCTTTTGATATGTTGTTTACTATGTCATTAAATAAATTCTTAATGGTCCTACAGTCACTGATCAGTCTGTGATTCTGACATCAATTTCCAGAAATTACAAGGTAAAAAGGACCACTGACTCCCACAAGTTTTCCTCTGACCTCCATACATGGTGCATGACCCACCTACGTGCCACACACAGACACAATTAAAATAGGTTAAAAAAAACAAAAGGTTGACAAATTCTACTTCCCCTTCATCTTTGTCATTACTATGCTCCTGTCTCTGTGGTAGAACTAGGGGTTGAATTCAGGTCCTTGAGCATTCTACACAAGGTATCAATGAGCTACATCCCAGCCCTTAGGTCATCTTGTGCAAAGTATTTGCCTTTCTCACCAGTTGCCATTTTTTTCTTTTTTGTTTTATTTGAGTTAACAAACATGACTGAATTACATGACAATCCCAGTTCCCTTCTCCCTCTCCTCCTCCGCTCCCACCCCGCCCCAACTAAAACCCTACCTAACACATATCCTTTCCTCTATTCTTTCCCGGTTGCAACCTTTCTGCTCCCTCATGCGCTCTGCGTCTTTCCTCTTCTTCCCTTCTCATTCTCGTAGCTCCCTCCCCCCTCTTCCCATGCTTTCAATTTGCTCAGGGGATCTTGACCCTTTCCCCTTCTCCAGGGGACAAAGTTTGTCTCTTTTAGGGTCATCCTTGTTTACTAGTTTCTTTGTCAGTGTGGATTGTAGTGAGTACATATCATGTTTGTCTTTTTGTGATTGGGTTACCTCGCTCAGAATGATTTCTTCGAGTTCCATCCATTTTCCTGCAAATTTCAAGATTCCATTATTTTTTTGTAGTACTCTATTGTGTAAATGTACCACATTTTCTCTATCCATTCTTTGGGCATCTAGGCTGCTTCCAGTTTCTGGCTATTACAAATAGTGCTGCTATGAACATCATTGAACAGATGTCTTTGTTGTATGAATGTGCTTCTTTTAGGTACATGCCTAGGAGTGGAATTGCTGAATCTTCTGGTAGACTAATTCTCATTTTCTTGAGGTGTCACCATGGTGATTTCCAAAGTGGCTGTACAAGTTGGCACTCCCACCAGCAGTGGAGAAGTGTTCTCCTTTCTCCACACTTCTCCAGCATAAATTGTCATTGGTGCTTTTGATTTTAGCCATTCTAACAGGTGTAAATTGGTATCTCTGAGTTGTATTGATTTGCATTTCCCTGATGGCTAAGGATGTTGAACACTTCATGTATCTTTCAGCCATTTTAGATTCCTCTATTGAGAAGTGTCTATTTAGATCTGTACTCCACTTTTTAATTGGATTGTTTGGTGTTTTGGACACTAGCTTCCTGAGTTCTTTGTATATTTTGGAGATCAGCCCTCTGTCAGATGTGGGGTTGGTGAATATCTTTTCCTAGTCTGTCAGCTGCTGTTTTGTCTTGCTCACTGTGTCCTTTGCCTTACAGAAGCTTCTCAGTTTCAGGAGGTCCCATTTATTAATTGTTGATCTCAGTGTCTGTGCTACTGGTGTTATGTTCAGGAATCGGTCGCCTGTACCAATTAATTCAAGGGTATGTCCCACTTTATCTTCTAATAGGTTCAGTGTTGCTGGATTTTTGTCTTTGATCCATTTTGACTTAAGTTTTGTGCAGGGCAAAAGGCTCTGTAGTCTTCCTCATGTTTGCATCCAGTTATGCCAGCACCATTCTTTGAAGATGTTCTCTTTGTTTCAGCATATGTATTTGGATTATTCTTCAAAAACCAGGTGTTCGTAGGTGTGTGGGTTAATAGCAGGGTTTTCAACTCTATTTCATTGGTCTACCTGTCTATTTTTGTACCAATACCAAGCTGTTTTCAGGACTATACTCTGTAATAGAGCTTTAAGTCAGGTATGGTGATGCCTCGAGAAGTTCCTCTATTATTATTGTACAGGGTTGTTTTGGCTATCCTGAGTCTTTTGTTTCTCCATATAAAGTTGAGAATTGTTCTTTCAAGGTCAATGAAGAATTGTATTGGGATTTTGATGGGGATTGCATTGAATCTGTAGATTGCTTTTGGCAAGATTGCCATTTTTACTGTGTTGATCCTGCCTATGCAAGAGCATAGGAGATCTTTCCATTTTCTGGTATCTTCTTTTATTTCTTTAGAGACTGAAAATTCTTACAGTACAAGTCTTTCACTTTTTTGGTTAGTGTTACCTCAAGGTATTTTATGTTGTTTGTGGCAATTGTAAAGGGTGATGTTTCTTTGATTTCTTTCTCCACCAATGTGTCATCCATATATAGTAAGGCTACTGATTTTTTTGAGTTAATCTTGTATCCTGCCACTTCGCTGAAGGTGTTTATCAGCTGTAGGAGTTCCCTGGTAGAGTTTTTCGGGTCACTTATGTAGACTATCATATCTTCTGCAAATAGTGAGAGTTTGACTTCTTCCTTTCCAGTTTGTATCCCCTTGATCGCCTTTTGTTGTCTTATTGTTCTAGCTAGAACTTCAAGGACAATATTGAAGAGATATGGAGAGAGTGGACAGCCTTGTCTTGTTCCTGATTTTAGAGGAATCACTTTAAGTTTCTCTCCATTTAACTTGATGTTGTTCTGCTTCATCTGCATTGTGATGTTCAGGTCTTGCTGGTGTATGGTTCCTAGTCTCCGATGGTGTCATATTGGGTTTTCTGTTGTTGGATGTGCTTTTACCTTGCCCTCTTCTCATCCTTTCTTCTGGTGGGTGTAGCAGGAGTTTCTTGCTCTCCTGATCGGTATGGGATCAAGGTTCTCTTCTGGTAGATGCAAACAGATCCAATAATCTGATGTCTGTCCTCTTGGATGGAGGTGTCACTTTTACCAGGGCCTCGGCAGTGCTCAGGTGTGTTGGGTCCTAGTGGGCTGGTGGATGGAGAAAGAATTGCCACCAGGCCTCAGCGTGTCTGATCCCGCCGCCAAACTCGGATCCATCCCACAGATCGCTGTTGTCAATTGACTCTGAGCAGTGACAATGAACGGAACCAGAAACAGCCCTTGGCCTACCTGGGCCGGCAAATGGACGCAGAACTGCCTCCAGGCCTCAGCCTGTCAGATCCCACCACCAAACTCAGATCACCAGTTGCTATTTTTAAATGACTAATAAGTGTTCTCATTGAGTTTTCAAAAAATTTTGACACAATTTCTTTTCAAATGCATCAGTGTGTCATTGTGAAACTGTAAGAACCACCTCACCACAGTGCTATAAGGGCTTAGGAATATTGGGAAAGAATTCCTCAGAAGTTGCCTCAGTTTTGGAAAGAATTTCACAGAAGTTGCCAGCTTACATGTCCCAGTGAAAACCACACTGTACCTAGAGCTCCTCTATGGAGTTTGTTGACTCTCAGTGATGCTTCCCCAGAACCTTTCTTTGGCTTCAATCACTTCAGTAAATTAACTTTTTTTGCTGTTGATGTCTTTAGCTATAAGGAGAATGCCATGCGGCTATCAAGAATTCACCATGATCAGCCAGTGAAGCCCCTGGACAGAGCTGTCTTCTGGGTTGAGTATGTCATGCGCAATAAAGGAGCCAAGCACCTTCGTGTGGCAGCACATGACCTCACCTGGTTCCAGTGCCACTCTCTGGATGTGCTTGCATTCCTACTTGCCTGTGTGGTGACTGTGATCTTCATCATCACAAAGTGCTGTCTCTTTTGTTGTCAGAAGTTTGTTAAAGGTGGAAAGAAGAAGAAAAGGGAGTAACTGAAGTGGGGAGGACAGACACATGGACCTCCTCTGGTGCATCACCGCAAGGGAGGCTTTCTGTGTGTTCCTTCATCACAACTGACCTGGACATTATCACTCTATTTCAGCCTTTTGAAGTACACTTGAGCTGTCAAAGGTTCCTTTTCTTCGCCCTTTTAAAGTACATATGAAAGGCAACACCACAAATTCTTTGTGCAGTGCAGAACCACAAAAACATCCACCCCATTGCCACCCTAATTCCTGCAATAAGATATTCACACATTCTGAAATGGACTCCTGTAGTGTGAGCATTGAATTCCAGTACAGACAAGAAAACTTCTCTTTAAATGTAAGCTGAATATTACTAGAGCGCCAGGTGAATTAACAAGATTTTACCAACAAGAAGGAAATCCTGTATGAGGAGCACATGCATTGAAACTGGAAACATTCTCACATTTAAAAACAGCACAACACTTAGTGAAAATGAAGTGAATCCTGTGACAATCTTCCTGTCACACTTGTAGACTGCCCACCAAAAGGTTGGGAGTTAATTAATCACATTACCCAGGAAAGCATCAATATTGGACAAGGACAGAAAAAGAAGAGAAACTACAACCAGTACAGAGGGGCCTACAAAAGGAGATGAAAACTCTGATACATCAAGAGCCCTTGCTCCTTACAAACCAGGACAATAGGACCAAAATGATTCTAGAAATAAAAGAAATAAGGAAGAGAACTGAAGCTGGCCAACAGAGTTCTGTTGACTTAGAAACAGATTATACCAAAGTGCCCAAGTTACAGATCAGGCTATAAAGGCAACACTGGCCAAAAGAAAACTTGACCTACAAGGGTTAAAAAAAAAACACTGATTGTTCAAAAAGGAAAACATATCTGATTCCGCCGACGACTGACCAGGAACTAGGTGAGTGAGTCTCTGCCCGCTCCCGACCCCAGGCCAGACAGCATACACCCCGACCACCCCCATCCCCTCACCCCTGCCTGTGCCTGAGGGCTTGGGCCAGACACACCCAGGCAGGGAGGAGCTCCCTGCATCCCGAATCTGCTAGCACCCCACTCTTCCATTCCGCC